AATGATATAAAATAATATATATTAGGTTTAAACTTATAATAATATATTAATACTACTTTGTAAAAACATTATATTTTTGCAATAGTGACAAACTAGTTAATTGTCTGAAGCAGAGTGGAGGATCCATATTCCAAAATTTTGTCTGTTTGTTCGCCCATGTGATTTTTATTACTTGATACTTACTAGAGAATTCTGTTTGTCTGTCTATCACGTGAATTGTACGATATGATCTACACAATAGCATTGCCATGTGTCCATACATACGTATATACTAGAGCTCAAACTTTAATTCTGTTTGTCTGTCCATTCATTGTAATGCAATGATTATCTATCTTTGCTATTTATAGTTGATTTTTTTTCGTATATATTAAACCTCTGATGGTCAATTTTCTTCATCTCTATCACCTAATTCTGGGTTCGTCCATTTAAATATTTTTGATTGGTTACCTGTGAATTCGTAAATGTAAATAATTATTATGATATATTCTTTGATCATTTAATTATAATGTGATTGTCAAATCTGTAATTATTGCCATGATTGTCAAATCTGTAACTATTTGCACATTTTTATAAACCATCTAATTCTGAGTTTGTCCATTCAAACATTCTTGATTGAAATGGTAAATGTAAGCTTAATCAATATGTAATAAATATATAAAGTAAAAAGCTATTTTTTACTAATTTATTTTTTTGTCTAGTATATATATATATTACACACTACTAAAACTATTTATTTATTTTTTTATCAGTATAAAATCACACTTTTATTCAAATTTTATGGTTTATATGGGAAACGCTAGTTGCAGAATTTGCATTTTTGCTACAAATCCTATAATCATATCAGATGAATCAACGTTGCATAATCCAAAAGAAAATGTTATTAAATCTATTGAATCAGTTAAATAAAAATATTTGATTGTAGTAATATAATTAACGTTAATGCTGACATTATTACTTGATTACTTGATTTAGGGAATTAGTCACTCTTAATTTAGATCAAGCGACAATATCTTCCCATTCATATACTAAAGAGTATTTATCGGAATTACGTGCTAAAACGCCTGTTATGCTATTATTATTTCAAGTACAAGATAATGTTATTGCAGAAAAATTTCCGTCAACTCTAAGACCTGGTATATATATATTCAAATATTTTGATTATATTTTCTTCAAATAATTTAATGTATGTATGTATGTAATTTCAAAGGTCAAATTTCGGGAATACCTGATGCAAATGCTATTCATGCTGCTAAAAAAAAGAG